AAAGGAGCCCACCACACTATCTAAATAAACACGGTAAAAATTGTAATAGTGAAGGCATGATAAGATGCCCTGGAGATGCGAATAACCCAGGGCAGAAAGGGAGATACCCCAATTGTTTAGCTCAAGTATGGTCAAAGGATCGGCTTTACTTGTCTCTTTGACGAGTTGTTGTGTGGTGCTAAGATTGGTGATACTCACTGATGATGTCGACTACGATGCCGGCAAAACATTTAAGAATGTACCACGGCTACGGTTAAACTTTGGAAATGATCATGAAGACAATGGACTCCGGACTAGGTGCGTTCCAATAAGTCTTCCTACCAATATGACCATGTTGCGAAAACAAAGTCAAACAACCTTCATTTCTTAAGTATAATTATACTGAAATTCAAGAATTATTCCTGCATGTGACTTCTTTTCGAAGAGTCTTGTCTGACCGAATGACCTCGATATCAAATAGAGGTAAGTATCCGTTTTTTTCCAAATCCATTGCAAATTTCACTTTTTAATCCAAGTTGTTTGAGAGGATAAGTAATTCTTCTTATTTTTCTTTACCATGCGACCAGAGTATGAAGTGCTCATCCAATTATCTCATAATTACTGTTGGTTGTTGAGATGACGTTTTGAAATTCTCCTCTAACTTGTTAATGAATACGTTAGCCAACAAAGGTTAGAGCGTTGAGCTAACAGACAGACCAAATATTTGTTCATTACTTTTGCCGTTAAACTTGATATAGGTTGTAGGTTGGTGCGGATAATGGCAATACTCACTGATATAAAGAAAAACTGGATTAGGCTTGCAGCCACCTACCTTTTCTCTTGGTTTAGTATATTTTTGCTCTATTTCGCAAAGTATGCAATCTTGCTCTGATAATGTCTGACACAATACAGACGAAAGCTTAGTACAGTTTCATCGGGGTCACAGTACGGTGAGCCGAGCACTTCTTCGCAAAATTTAACAGTCTTCCGTAATCAGCAATCCTCCTTCGGTTTTCGGTGAGATTACATCACGAATTCCTTCCAACCAACTTTCCCTTCGAAATGCAGGGTCATGCCACAAGACTCACTGATGATGCTGACTATGATGCCGGCAAAACGTCTAAGAATATACCAAGCCGACTGCCTGATTCTGGGAATTATGAAAATTACTATGGCAGAGGACTTCGTACAAGGTACATTCTACTAAGTCCCCCTGACAACAAGACCAAGTTGCGAAACAAAGGCCGAACAAACAATAGTAAGATAAATACGATTGCAACCAAGCAGAAGGCTACTTCATCGTGGTTTTCATATCTACGATTTAGTTTATATTGTTTCGGTTATATCTTGGAGCTGTTATAAGAATAACCCTAACTTCTGATGATGCTTTCCAAGAGAGAGATGAAATTCCACCTCGTCTGCACTGTAACTGAGAAAGGAGTTTCTAAAGCACTACATCAGCTCAAACATTATAGCAAGACCAAATAAAAGCGGACCAGGTAAAAGCAACCCTCATCTTCTGTCGAGATCGATCCATAAATCTCTTAGTTAGACACTTTTTTATGAAGTAAAACATGACTCAGTAATGGGAAATTCATCAAAAATTCTTCCTATATTAAATATTTGTATTCTTATTTAGTAAAACTCGATTTTTTAACTCAAACATAGCCTTTATTTACACACTTGTAGTCAAAGCGCAGGGAAATGACAAACAGAAACATTCGCCTGGTTGAGCTGGCACTTCAATTCAACTGGAAAGTACTGCCCGCCTATGCCATGACCTGGTCACGGCTTGATAGCTTTCTACCAAGCGCCCAATGCTCTTGTCACTTCCACCAGCCGCTGGTAAAGTTGAAGAGACCGACTTTTGGTACAAGCAATAGGAGAGAAAGGTGTGAAGAATCCTTAGAGCTTGTAGCAATCAGGGCCGACAAAAAGTTGCTCTTACCAAAATTGCTTGAAGCCAAGGGGCTATATCATCTATCCGCTCGAAAAATGACGGCTGACCAGCTATTGAAAAATGATCAATTATCTGGGATCAGAAGCTTTGGAGTTACGGAGGAAGGACTGGTAGACCGAGTTCATCCTGGCTCCAAGATGCCAGTGGCATCTCGCAATAAGCTTGCAGGAAGAAATATTTTGGATGCAGATATATGTACAAGGTATTCTCGACCTCACTACCACATAGCGGGCCATGTGCACGACCAATTATTTGGCATGCTTCTGAATCTTTTGAACAAAATATAGATACCCACGACGATATGAATATGTCTGTGCCATTTAATTTCAATTAGACTAGCTTCACAAAAGGTATTCTCATACAGCGTTGACTGCAGTTTCGACCTCGCCTGTGTCTCATCAAGACCCCCAAAGGGAATCGAACTCAGATAGTGCAGTGTATATGCTCCATACACGTATATGCGACACTACGATAAGTTACGCACATTTATAGCACAGATTAATTTGAGGCAAAACTAGGCCTCTCCAATATCACAAGGTTGCTTAAGTGAATGTAAGATTAAGAGTGCAACTTCCCACAATTAGATGAGTATCTCTTAAGGTACAATTGGATTTCATTTAGCCTTGCTCTCCATAAAGTATGCTAATCCTAGCCTGCCTTGAAATTTACTTTTGTCTTGTGCCTTACTGGTATTCATGGTAGTATGGCGTAGTGGAGAAATGTGGACATTATGAACTGCACTACACAAACGCTAAGAATAAAGAGACTACTTTATGGCTCTATGAGGATCCGGAAAAATACATATTATATGATCATCTTCCTGCCACCCAAATTAATGTTCGGATGGTAAAACGGTTGTAACTCTGAGGCAGGCAGAAAATAAGGAAGAATAAGTTGTCCCAAGACATTAAAGTGCATTAAGTGACCGAAACTGAAATTTTTACAAGGTATTTAAAAATATAAATATTTGATTGAGGTTATTTCTCACAGCATTGAGCAATAATGAGCATACTCAAGTTTAATTACCAGATTTATAATACTTTGTGACTGTGGCCTGTGTCCTTCCATTCATTGCCTAATTATAAATATGGAAAATCTTTATTATGCGGACAAACGCATTCGGCTATTTTTCTTCTCTTTACATATCATGAAAGTTTCAGCCTAAATAAGTTTGGATGTAAGCACACTCAAGAATAATGACCAAATCACTGAAAGTAAAAATGAATTGTATTGTTATATTAGGAGCATTATGAAGAAGAAACTGCATTCTCCGTTTTTATTGCATTCTTTCTCACCCAAATTCGGAGTAAGTACAGAATTATCTCTGCACCAACAGGAATAATTATGGGAATTTTTGTTTATTGTTATAGGGACTGATGACGATTATACTTACAATTAATTGAATAATAGGCTTGATTTCACCTTGGAATTCCCTAAGCCATACAACCGAAAATGCTTTTTTATCCAGACTGGACTGCAGTTTTGACTTGGTCTCATCTTCTATACAGCTGTAAAGGCGGGATCTCTACACTCGCCTACTCGGGATTCAAATCTCGTTAAGTATAGAAGTTGTTTGAACTTGTTTTCGAAACTTGGTAATATTGGTAGGAAGACTTAGAGGAATGCACCTAGCCCGGAGTCC